AACGATAGCCATGTGATGTGAGTATCAGTCACCTGGAGGCAGGACTCAAAAGCCTGAATTTTGCCTGAAACTCAGACTGAAGAAGTCTCTTGGAAGAGAGACGAAACGTTTCATTAAAGAACCCGTCCAGAGGACCTATACAATTTTTTTTCCTTTAGATTTTTTACCTGGATCACTGAGATGCATCAGGATACAGTATGGTTAGACATAAAAAAAGAGAGATTTCATTAAGTATAAAATTACCAAAAGCTAAAGCCTGTCTGTAATGAAAAGAAATCTAAAAAAAGGTCTGTTAATAAAATTGTAAACACTTAATTAAAAAAAAACCACTGTTTAAAACCTGTCACACCAATGTCTTTATGTTAAGGAGGTGAGAGTTTACCTGCCATGCTTTGCTGCCAGTGAGAAACTGTGCAGTCTGGTTTTGGTTCTGTTTTGTTTAGTTAATTTATCATTTTTTATTTGTGTATCACAGACCATTGCAGTGTTTATCTGATGATTGTTTTGGATTGAGCGTGTTTTTCTTTTACTGAACTCATCATGATAATCTGCTGGTAATTGCTTCCTCTCCCTGAACTGAATTGCTGGATTCCCATTGGCTGGGAAAATGAAGGCGGCACAGTGGCTCAGTTGATAGAGCTGATGCCTCTCAGCAAGAAGGTCGCCGGTTCAAATCCCGGCCTGGAGACCTTTCTGAGTAGAGTTTGCATGTTCTCTCCGTGCCTGCATGGGTTCTCTCTGGGTACTCCGGCTTCCTCCCACAGACCAAAAACATGACTGTTAGGTTAATTAATAACTCTAAATGGTTCCTAGGTGTGAGTGAGAGAGTGAATGGTTGTTTGTCTCTATGTGTCCCTGTGATGGACCTGCGACCTGTCCAGGGTGTACTCTGCCCCTCGCACTGTGTTATGGGTACTAGTGACCCATGCGACCCTGAAAGGAATAAGTGTGTACAGAAAATGGATGGATGGGAGAATGAGTCCCATGCCTTCTTAAGCTGGACAATCAAAACCAGGTGGAGGTCAGAAGAGAGTGAGAGGTTCCTCCAAATCTGGTCAACCTGCAGCGAGGCGGCTTGGTGTGGTCTTTGATTCAACGCTCACAATTTTTCAAGTAAAGGAAAGTAATTATTATCCTCCTGGGCACATCAGCCCATTTTGGGTATGATTGGTCAGCTCCTTAGTTCCTACTACTGTTTTGCAGAGCACAAGTGAGAGCACAGGACGTGGGTGTGCAGCTGGAACGTGCAGGCTCTGAAGGGATCAGCCAAGCAGATGCAAGCAGCCCCATATTGTACATGTTTTTGGGAGAGGGGGAAACCAAAGTAAACCCACACAAGCACGAAGAGAACATGCAAACTCTGCAAAAAAAGACTTCAGGTCCGAACCCGGGGACCGAAACCAGAACCTTCTTGCTGTGAAGGGTCAGTGCTAACCACTGAGCCATCATGCTGCCTATGCTTCTGATGACTAAACTGTTTTATTCAAACACTGCTGTTTCTATTGGTTCTTAGACCATAAAAGATGAAAAAAGGTCCAGGAAAAAAATCCTGTGGAAAAAAAAGGAGAGAAAATTAGATATTTTACAAATTATTTGTGTTACCAGCACTGAGTTCAGACCAAACAACTGATCTGACATAAAGAAGCTTACCTTTTGRTTTTCAGTTTTCTGGCGGATACAGTTTTTCTGGAAAATTGAGGAGAATATAAGTTTATGAAAAACTGTCAGTTTATGTTTTTGTGTGAATAAATAGATTAAGGCTCCAGCATGCTGCTGTTGAAGTGCCGAAATGTCGCAGTTTCATGCCGAAAACTGCGTCATTTCTGTTCACATTGCCGACACTTCAGCACTTCTTGTCGCAACCCGCGGGTCGAACTTTTCMCCCCCCCCCCCCATATAAGAACACATACAAACTATATGGTGTGATTGGTCAGAAGCTTCTGGGAGTGTTTGTTTGAGCTGAAAGCGCGACGCTGCATTTGCTTCAATCATTCGCTTAAAAAAAGGGAAAAAATAAAGTGACTCGTTCCAGAGCCGCCTAAGCGAGAAAGGGTTATCTGCAGAATCAAAGTGGGCATGTCACAAGAGTGGGCATGTCAAAAGCATAAACACTGTGGGCTACGACGCCTACATGATGGTATCCTTAGATCCTGCTTGATCTCTTTACAGCCTGACCCTGACCCCAACACTAAGGTTAACCAGGAGAAATGTGACCCAAGTAGGGTTCTCCAGAAAAAGTGGTGCCGTACAGTAATGCCCCTTTTGTTCTTGTCCAATGAGGTGGTGCCGTACGATGACGCCCCTTTTGTTCTTGTCCAATGAGGTGGTGCCGTACGGTATCACCCCTTTTTTGCTTGTCCAGTCAGGTGTGTCCCTTTAACAAAGTCCGTCAAATCAAGTGTGTTGCTTTAGAATCGCCTTTCCTTGTGACACGCCCACTCGTCCGCAGAGACCCCTACTTGGACTAAGCAGCAATTTATAGATAGTCAAATGGCCAAAACCTCTTAAATAGTCAAATGGCCAAAACCTCTTAAAAGGGGATAAAACAGATGTTTTTCACGGTGAAATCTGACTGATAAAAACTTTGTAGCTCACCCAGGACCAGTTTGTGGATAAACAACATTAGCTGACTAGTCTCAAACTTTTTTTTTCCCGCATTGGACTCCACCGGTAGAGAAATCCCATGCAATGACATATGCTTCAGCGGGAGGTGTTTCCCAGGAGCTCGGCGCGGGGTGTCTCAGGAACTATGAAAGGTCTGTGCGAAAATGAACGCCAAACAACCACGTGACCGCGCGTCGACCGGTCGGCTGCCGAGTGACCATACTGCCTGCTTTACTCTTAATACACTGCCTGGACAAAAATAAAGTCACCAATCCATGTGTGAAAATGATGCCTCATGCTCCCTGAACCACTCTTTCACAATTCCAACCTGAGGAATCCTTTCTTTCTTGAGCGCATGCTGTTGCTGGACCTAGACCTGACCAACTGCAGCAACCCTACATCATAGCACTGCCCCCACAGGTTTGTACAGTAGACACTAGACATGATGGGTGCATCACTTCACCTGCCTCTCCTTACCCTAGTGCGCCCATAACTCTGGAACAGGGTAAATCTGGACTCATCAGACCACATGACCTTCTTCCATTGCTCCAGAGTCCAATATTCGTGCTCCCTAGCTAATTGAAGCTTTTTTTTTCAGTTAGCCTCACTGATTAGGGGTTTTCTTAAGGCTACACAGCTGTTCACTCCCAATCCCTTGAGTTCCCTTTGCATTGTGCATGTGGAAATGCTCATACTTTCGAAATTAAACATAGCTGGGAGTTCTACTGTTTTTTTTCTTCGATTTGATTTCACCAAACCTTTAAGTGATCATCGACCGACGATGCGTCCCCACTGTCCTTCCAGTTTTTAATAATGCGTTGGACAGTTCAACCCAATTTTAGTAGTTTCTGCAATCTTCTTAGATGTTTTCTCTGCTTGATGCCAATGATTTGATCCTTCTCAAACAGACTGACATCTTTTCCACGATCACAAGATGTGTCTTTCCACATGGTTGTTTAAGAAATGAGAAGCAACTCATTGTACCAGTTGGGGTTAAATACTGTAACTTCTTACAGCTGAAGATAATCACCCATACAGTARCTATGCAATTGGAGGCTCGTACCTATTTGCTTAGTTAAATCCAGGTGGCCACTTTTTTCTGGCCAGGCAGTGTACCATGCACTACAGCTACGTACGCTGACCTACAGTAAAAGCACAATGACACAAGGAAGAAGGTGGAGTAAAGGACAAATAGAACACAAGTTTTCATTCATTTTTATTGTTTATGTTTCTCACCTGTCAGATAATAACTCAGGAATGCTAGGAAAACAGCAAGACCCACTACGAAGAAACAGGAAACACCAGCTCCCCATCTGTTTCTGCATGAAGGCTCTTTACCTGCAACTAAACAGAGGAGAGAAAAACATCAAAACGAGATGAAATATTACAAAAATACAATGGCAGCAATTTTTTTGTTCACGACCAGTTAAATGTTAATGATTTTCTATAGTTTGTTTTACTATCCTGACCTGTACAAGCCAGTTACTTTATTCACTAAAGCTGCAAACTAAGGATTGACTACTGTGTCTTCTTAGCTGTCCCTACCCAGTCAGTGGGATGTCAGTGAAACCTTAGAAACCATATAATTTTAAACACAGATCCAAAACTTTGTTACCAGCTATGGCTTTGTTTTGAAACTATATTTTGTATGCTTTTATTTTGAAGGTGAGCATTGTCCTTACCATTACACTTAGAAGAGAAAACCTTTGAAGTATTCTCCATTTTCCTGCTGGATGTGCAGGCAAATTCAACAGAACCTTGTGTGTTAACATGGACAAAAAGTTGTGACGGACCTCCCTTTGTGTTGACCCAGTTATTCAAATTATGAGGCGTCACTTTCCAGGAGAAATCAACATCTTGATCTTGAGAAGAGCAAAAGAGCAACATTAAACAGCCGTTTTCTGTTGCTGCGTTGTGAATCTGCTTTATGGTTGGTTTCTGAAGGTGCTCTGTAAGGATAAAAGTTAATAATAGTTATTATTCCCTTTGAAATTACAATAATTCAAAAAGAAAATGTTTGGAAAATGATGAAAACTGCAATGCTGCATGCAAGTTCCCAAGTATTTAGGTGTATTGATTGATTGATTGACTGATTTTTATTTAAGTGTGACCAGCCCTCATGGGCTTATAAGACACTCCACACATAAAAACACACACATATAATGGCTACATTAATAAATAATCTCATTCAAAAAAACCCTAAAAATATTATCATTACAATCAGAAACTCATTGGGAAATGTTTTCCTCAGATAACCAAAATCTGCATTATGTCTAKTTATACATTCAAATAAAGAAAATCTTAAATCAGAATACAAAGGACAGTAGATAATAAAATGATAATCATCTTGCACTACACTGAGGTTACAAAGAACGCAGACTCTCTCCTCTTCAGGGAGACCTTTATTCCTATCCACCTTTACTGCCAGGGGCAGGCTACCAGTTCTGATCTGGGCACAAAGGGGCCCTTGTTTTTGGAATAAATTTAATTTTACTGACTGTAACCTCTCAATTTTSGTTTTCTACAAATGTCCTGTTTCCATTGTTTTTTGAAGTCATTAAAATATGTTGCTAACAATGTAGCAACTTCCTTTGTCCAAGGATAATTATTATAACATTCTCATAAAAATCTTTTTGGTCAGCCTGACATCTGGCAGCCGAGCGAGGCGGTTCCATAAGTGTAAGACTCAATATGCTAATATTTTTTAATTAAAAAAAGGGAAATAGAAAATGATAAGATGACTATTTGACACCTACGTTTCACTTTTAATCTAATGTCGTTCACTTTGTTTTCCTTCTTTATGTTGTAGAGGTATACAGTGTAGTTCGTTTCATCTTCTTGCCTCAAATTATGGATCGTCATGTCACCTGTAAAAACAAAACCATAACAGTAAGTATTGGTAAGAGAAAAATAAATAATATTTTACACCAAGTAAACAAGGTTTTATTTTACCTGAGATTTGGTTAAGTGTGAGTCTCCCTTTAAATGCTGGAAAACGATCAATGTTTGTTATCTGACTACGATAAGTAGCGATGAAGGTTTTGTTGCTAGATAATGCCCAATCAATTCTTGATAGATTCCATGATGGGTCAGCACCAGAGGGCAGGATAACAGTACCACCAATGTATCCCGATACTTCTTGAAGTGACACAACCACAGGCACTGAAGGAACAAATTTATAAAAATGTTAGTATCACAGATAAATATGTTATGCTATCAGACTGAACACGGAATAAAAAATAAGGTATCACTGTGTAGAGCAGGGGTGTCAAACTAATTTTCTCCGAGGGCCACATGAGTATTATGGTGGCCCTTCAAGGGCCAGCTGTGATCAACTTTGACGTTTCATGTTTAACTTTGACTAAAGTGTTTTAACATGTCCTCTTTTAAACAGTGTATGACTGACTAAATCTGAAATAAATACAGAAATATTAAAAGTAAAACTAATAAAGTTTTACTCACTGATGAGTTTCTAGTAAGTAGCTAATATGTATTATGGCAAATTTAGTCTATGGTCAATGTTGACTTTAAAGCAGCTTATTTTCAGATATTAATACTGTGCTATACAACTAAATTGCTTAGTTACTTAAAGTTACATCAACAGTTTAGGGGTAGGACGATTGTTATTGTCTTTCACCTTTTAAATTTATTTTGTTGCATTTAATCATAAATATAAAGTTTACCATTCATATAAGAAACAA